CAGGATAAGGAAGAGAACTGGCAGCATGTAACCTCTAGAAAGAGAAGGCGGACAACTCGGGTATCCCCCGTCTCTGTAGAGATAAGTAAACACTATCAGGCTCTCTCCACAGGCACTGCAGTGGAGAATGATTTGGCAGGGACCTCTCAAGGAAGAAATCAGAAGGAAACACCATCTACCGCAAGGCATGGGATGCATAGTCCTAGGTATGGGGGTTCCATGACCACCACCTCCAAAAGAAGAAAATGGGTGGTGGTGTTTGGGGACTCCCTCCTAAGAGGGTCGGAGTCATCCATCTGCCATCCAGACCTGCAATCTCAAGAAGTGTGCTGTTTACCAGGGGCTCACATTCAGGATGTGACCAAGAGTCTTACAAAAGTGATTAAACCTTTGGATCACTGCCCCTTCCTGCTTCTCTATGTGGGAACTAACGATACAGCCAAGAATGACCTTGAGCAGGTCACAGCAGGTTATGTAGAGCTGGGAAGAAGGATCAAGGAATTTGAAGTGCAAGTGGTGTTCTTGTCCATACTTCCGGTTGAAGGAAAAGGTCTGGGTAGGCATAGTCAAATTGAGGAAGTAAATGCATGGTTACGCAGGTGGGGTCAGAGAGACGGCTTCGGTTTCTTCGACTGTGGGTCTCTGTTCTGGGCACAAGGATTGTTAGGAAGAGATGGGATCCACCTAACCAAGAGAGAAAAGAGCATCTTCGCAGGCAGGCTTGCAATCCTAGTGAGGAGGGCTTTAAACTAGGTTTGTTGGGGGCGGTGACCCCAAAGCCCCGAGGTAAGTGAGGAAGCCAGACACCAGGAAAAATCACAAGGAGAAACAAGCAACAAAGGAGGACCCCTGATTCGGATGGAGAAGATAGAGTGATCAACTGGTTATCTAAGTTGTTTGTACACCAATGTGAGAAGCCTGGGAAACCGGAAGAATTAAAAGCCCTGTCCCAGTCTAAGAACTATGATTTGACTGGAACAATGGAGACTTGGTGGGATGACTCGCATGACTGGAGCACTGTCATGGAAGGGTATAAACTGTTCAGGAAGAACAGGCGGGGGAGAAAAGGAGAGGAGTTGCATTGTATATAAGAGAGCAGTATGATTGCTCAGATCTACAGTATATAGAGGGAACAAAGACCATGGATTAAGTTTAGAGGTGGAAGCAACAGGGGTGATGCTGTGGTTGGGGTCTGTTATAGACCACTGGATCAGGTGGTTGAGGTAGACGAGGCTTTCTTTGGACAACTGAGAGAAGCTTCCAGATCGCAGGTCCTGGTTCTCACGGGTGACTTTAATCACCCTGACATTGGTTGGGAGACCAATACAGCAGTACACAGACAATCCAGGAAGTTTTTGGAGAATGTTGGGGATAACTTCTTGGTACAAGTGCTGAAGGAACCAACCAGGAGTCATGTGCAGCTTGACCTGCTGCTCACAAACAGGGAGGGGGAAGTAGAGGTGGGTGACAACCTGGGAAGCCGTGATCATGAGATGGTAGATTTCAGGATCCTGACCAAAGGAAGAAAGGAGAGTAGCAAAATACACACCCTGGACTTCATGTAAGCATCCCAGGGAATACTGCCCATCAGTTCTCTAAAGGGAGTCAAAGTCTGCTCTTCTGAAGTGCAAAGGAGTCCAGGAGAGATGGCAGTATTTTAAAGAAGCCTTATTAAAGGCACAGGAAGCAACCATCCTGATGTGCAACAAGAAAAGCAAATATAGTAGGGGACCAGATTGGCTTACTGGGAACATTCTTGGTGAGCTTAAACACACAAGGAAGCTTACAAGAAATGGAAACTTGGACAGATGCGTAGGGAGGCGTATAAATATATTGCTCGAGAATGCAAGGGAGTTATCAGGAAGGCGAAAGCGCAGTTGGAATTGCAGCTAGCAAGTGATGTGAAGGATAACAAGGCAGGTTTCTACAGGCATGTTAGCAATAAGAGGGTGATCAGAGAGAGTGTGTGGTCCTTAACAGATGACGGAGGTAACCTAGTGACAGATGTGGGAAAAGCTTGAAGTACTCAATGCTTTCTTTGCCTCTGCCTTCACGGACAAGATCAGCTCCCAGACAAATGCATTAGGCAACACAGTATGGGAAGGAGGTGGACAGCCCTTGGTGGGGAAAGAACAAGTTAGGAACTATTTAGAAAAGCTCAACATACACAAATCCATGGGCCCAGATTTAATGCATACGAGGTTACTGAGGGAGTTGGCAAGTGCCATTGCAGAGCCTTTGGCCGTTATATTTGAAAACTCATGGAGATCAGGAGAGATCCCGTATGATTGGAAAAAGGCAAATGTAGTGCCCATCTTTAAAAAAGGGAAGGAGGACAATCCAGAGAACTACAGAGCAGTCAGACTTACTTCAGTCCCTGGAAAAATCATGGAGGGGATCTTCAAGGAATCCATTTTGAAGCACTTGGAAGATGGGAAAGTGATCAGGAATAGTCAACATGGATTCACGAAGGACAAGTCGTGCCTGACCTATCTGATTAGTTTTTATGATGAGGTAACTGGCTCTGCAGATATGGGGAAGTCAGTGGATGTGATATACCTTGACTTTAGCAAAGCTTTTCATATGGTCTCCCACAATATTCTTGCCAGCAAGCTAAGGGAATGTGGATTGGATAAATGGACTGTAAGAGGAATAGAAAGCTGGCTATACTGTCGGGCCCAACGGGTAGTGATCAATGACTCGATGTCAGGTTAGTGGTCGGTTTCAAGTGGAGTGCCCCAAGGATCTGTTCTTGGACTGGTTTTGTTCAACATCTTTATTAATGACCTGGATGAGGGGATGGATTGCACCCTCAGCAAGTTTGCAGATGACACTAAGCTAGGGGGAGAGGTAGATACATTGGAGGGCAGGGATAGGGTCCAGTGTGACCTAGACACATTAGAGGACTGGGCCAAAAGAAATGTGATGAAGATCAGCAAGGACAAGTGCAGAATCCTGCACTTGGAATGGAAGAATCCCAAGTATTGTTACAGGCTGGGGATTGAATGGCTAAGAAGCAGTTCTGCAGAAAAGGACCTGGAGATACCAGTGGATGAGAAGCTGACCGATTGGCTAAGTAGCAGTTTTTTGCAGAAAAGGACCTGTGGATTACAGTGGATGAGAAGCTGGATATGAGTCAGTGTGCCTTTGTAGCCAAGAATGCTAATGGCATATTGGGATGCATTAAGAGGAGCATTGCCAGCAGATCTAGAGAAGTGACTATTCTCCTTTATTCGGCTCTGGTGAGGCCACATCTAGAATATTGTGTCCAGTTCTGGGCCCCCACTATAGAAAGGATGTGGATGTATTGGAGAGGGTCCAGCAGAGGGTGACCAAAATGATTAGGGGGCTGGAGCACATGACCTATTAGGAGAGACTGAAGGATTCGGGTTTGTCTGCAGAAGAGAAGAGTGAGGGGGGATTTGATAGCAGCCTTCAGCTTTCTGAAGGGAGGTTCCAAAGAGGATGGAGAAAGGCTAGTCACAGTAGTGACGAATGGCAGAACAAGGAGCAATGGTCTCAAGTTAGAGGGAGAGGTGTAGGTTGTGTCAAGTATGGGTTCTCTTGGCCAGGCCTCCCGCATATAGCCGAGATCTACCTCCGCAACCTCACCACGTCACATAGATAGCAACAAGGCTTATCTACCAATAAAATGGAGCTTGTCAGAGTCCAGCACTCAACACCATATATGGGCCTCACACCACACCCAGACCACACTCATGCCACTCCCAGAGCACAAACAACACCAAATATGGTAATAGGCAAGAACATAAAAACCTCTCTGCCCTTAGCTCGGGGACTCCCGAATATTGGAAGACAGAATCTGAGTCTGGCTTAGGACTGATCACCCAAAGGCCGCCTCCCACCCAACAAATCTAAAAAGGGGTGCACGAATCTCGAGCATGCTTCGTTTCCTTGTGTGTCTTTGTGTTGTTGTTGCTGAGTTTGTAAGTATTTAATCTACCCTCACTGTTGTTAAGTTGTTTAAAAGAGACAGGTTAGAAAATATATAGCTCTGTGGTAACTTTTACCCTTGCTATTGTCAGTGTTAAAGAAACAGTTTAAGTGTGTGTATATATTTGACTTAGCTGTAACTTAGGGTTTAAAAGTTGTTGTATGGTAAATATTAGGTAGTTGTTTATTATATTAGGTAAATGTTAGGTAAATATTAGGAAGTTGTTCAGTTTAATAAATCACTCCTTCTTTAGCAAAATTGTTGTCTTGCCATCATTCTGTATTTTCACTGGGTGTTTGGCCTTTAAGCCTCTGGGACTCCTGCCATTTTACCAAACCAAGCACCAACAGGTTGGATATTAGGAAAAACTATTTCACTAGGAAGATGGTGAAGAATTGAAATGGGTTACCTAGGGAGGTGGTGGAATCTCCATCCCTAGAGGTTTTTAAGTTCGCCTTGACAAAGCTCTGTCTGGGTTGATTTAGTTGGGACTGGTCCTGCCTTGGGCAGGGGGCTGAACTTGATGACCTCCAGAGATCTCTTGCAGCTCTGATTCTATGATGATTGAATGACACTTCTAGCAAGTAAGATATTTTTTCCAACCTGTTCACATAGCAATTTAGTGAAGTTATTTAAATATACTTTGCATTTCTCACAGGTATTTGGAACTCTTTGTCAATCTGTGTGGTATAAAGCTGTTAATCCTTGTTTCATATGCATGTTCCATTCTATTATCTCCATTGTGGTCTCTGTTACAAGACATTGATCTTGAACTTCTTAAACTGAGGATCGAAAGTGTGGGAACTGATCTCACATTCACAGTACTGAAAGGTAAATGTACACTTAAATCTTATAAATAAAAATGAGCTCCTGTAGAGACTTCTTTTAAGCTTAACGTCATATTTGGGACTTGTTTGATTTTCAGTGGTGGGGAGAGAAAGAGATCATCGTTTAATGTCAAAAAAGTAAGTGCAAGGAGCACCAGCAATTTAGACTATTTTTCTTTTACATGCTAATTATCTTTTTCTATTTTCCCTCCCTCTAGCTGGTCAGCTTACTGCTGATTGGAATTGCAGCATGGGGTATAGGCTTTGGCCTCATTTCTAGTTTCCGAGTTGTTGGCGTGGTAATCGCTGTGGGGATCTTTCTGTTCCTTATTGCTTTGGTTGGATTGATCGGTGCAGTCAAACACCATCAAGTGTTACTCTTTTTTGTATCCTTTGGGAATTTGCAAATACAAGTGGTGGTGGTAATGTTTTGTGTTAGAGTAATTCCTAGTCATGGACCAGAGCCTCATTCTGCTGTACAAACAGGTGCCCCAGTGTGCCTTCCAAATTTGTGCCACAAAATTAGCTCTCAGTAATGCTCCCCTTCATCCACTGTCGATCTTTTTTTAACCTTTTGTTACCTTTTTATTTGTATGATGAAATGTTACTTGTGCCAAGGACCTCATCTGCATTACATTTTTATTGCTTCTTTTGACTCCTGACCTGGTAATAACACATTCCTAATTGTCGGTCAGAGTAAATTCAACTGTTGTACTGGGGTCAGATGACACAGCCCTGATGTAACTGGTTCCCCTGAATGTTACAGGGAAATGTAGATATTTCTCAGGCAGCAATTGAATTTTTGGATTCCAGCCTCCTTTTTGTTCTCATTCACATCTAGTTCTTTGTCACCCCAAATTAGAATTGAGCATGTCAGACACTTTCTCAGGGCTCCTAGGATTGTGAGTCTCCTTGTAACCCCCCTGCTCCAGTGAGAGGAAGATGTGCTGGTACTTAACTAGGTGTCAGCTCTCTAACTCCACTAGCCACCCAAACAGTCTTTGCTGGGCTTTTTTTTTCAGTTTAACAATAGGTGTATCCAAGCCTCACTGGAAACATCACCCTGCAGCATCCAAGTCTACCTGGACACACACAGAAATTAGCAGATTTGCTGTCTCCAAGGAAACAGTGTGCAGACAGCTTGTCTGTCTCAGGAGTAGGTCATGGATAATATCACATCACCGAGATATTTATAGTAAAAATAATCCTAAATTTATTATCAAAAGCCTCGACCCAAGACAGCGAGTAAGGCTGACAGAAATGGTTACATATAAAACAAAGTTTAACATAATCCTTAGAATCTAATCTTAATTTTAATAACCTAAAACCCTTGTCTAAAATAGTTACTCACCTAAAACAATCTTTCAACATCACCAATCAGCATGGCTAGGTTCCCACTGTATGTTTTGGCCTGTCAGTGAGGGATACGAATGTTTCCTCTTGCTGTGTTGTTACACTGCCAAATCCACTTTTTTTTGCCCACAGAGTCGGGATGACACCTGTGGTTTATTCCTTAGTGACGTCTGCTGGCTCCAAATTGCTTTCACATCCTTCTGTTGATGCTGTGTGCTGACTGACTTCCATTGTTTTGGCTTACAATGCTTACTTTATACGTGAATCAAAGCAGACACATGAATCTACATCTTTTGTCCAGAAAAACCTGTTTGTCGTATCTGCACAGGACACAGATTTTAAAATATAATTTCAGTACAGGTTGGACCTCCCTGACTGGTCCCAGACAAGGGAATTTGCTGGATAACGGGAGGTCCCTTGACACCAGCCTGTGGCCTTCCCCTCTGCCGGCTCCTTCAGCCCGGACAGGCTGCTTGCTGGACAGCCCTGGCTGTCCTGCCAATCCGGCAGCACGCATCCACTGCTGGGTGGCACGCTGCCCCGATTAGGCTGCTGCAGCCCCAGCCCCGCTGCTGGGTGGCATGTAGCCCCAGCCATTCTGCTTCTATCAGGCTGCCGTGGTCCCAGCCGGCTTACCTTTCTGGGCTGCTGAGGCTGCAGCTCTGGCTTTGCTACTGGATGGTAGGCAGCCCCAATCATGCTGCCGCCGCAGCTACCCAGGCTACTACAGCTCCACAGCTGCTGCCCAGGATACTGCGGCCCCACCACCACCCACGTCAATGCAGCCCAGGAGGGGAAGGCTTCTGCCGTCCTGGCCCTACTGCTGGGTTGCAGATAGCTCAGATTGCACTCCTTGGCTGCCCTGGTGTCGCTGGTGTCCAGGCTGCTGTGGTCCCGCTGCTACCAGACGTGCTGGGCTGTGCCAGGCTCCCAGCTGCTGGCCTTCCTGCTCTAGGGCTCTCTCATCCCAGAACATCTGTGGTCATGCTGGACCACGGATGTTGCCAGACCTTAGAATTCCAGATTGGGGAGGTGCAACCTGTACATGCCTCTTAAATATTACCCACCCATATATCTCACCACGATTATGCTGTATTGATCACGTTAAGCTTAAAATCAGCAATGTCTCAGGTAAACGTCACAGGCTATAATACTGCCAGTGTGCCAAGATGCATTTTAAAAAACAGACGGAAGAAAATGACATAAGTGAGACCAGGTATTGTAATAGTATCTGTCCTGTGTGTGGTTTTTGCAGGTTCAGGTTACATTCTGTAATAAGGCCAGAGAGAGACTGAGTCACTAAAGGAAAAAGAATGTTTGAACAAAGGGTGCTACCTGCCCACTAAGGAGGCCTGGAAAATTAACTACTTTGTGCATAGAAATCTGTCATTTAAGCCCTTGCTTAACCTTGTCTGAGATTAGCAATAGGAGTGCAGAACTTCCCACTTCTAGGTCAGCTGACTGATCAAAAATTATTGCTGATCTAAATTAGCATTCTTGTTAACAAGGTCAATATTTTCTGGATCAGAGGATTTTTTTTCTGAGGCTATGTCTACACTGCAGCCTTGTTGGCAGAGACAATGCAAATGAAGCGCTCATTAGCATTTCTCACACTGTCATTTGCATAGTCTCTTACGATCCGTTTTGTGGAAGAGGTTTTTGTGTTTTAAAAAAACAACAACAAAAAACTGCACTGTAGACGGGGCAAAAAACCCTTTTGCGTAAGATCCTATATACCTGCTTTTTTGAGGAATAAGGGTTCTTGCGCAAAAGTTTTTTTGGCGCAAAATGGCCCCGCTTACACTGAGGTTTTTTGCGCAAAAACCTCTTCTGCAAAACGGATTGGAAGAGACTATGCAAATGAGTGTGAGAAATGCTAATGAGCACTTCATTTGCATTGTCTCTGCCAACAAGGCTGCAGTGTAGACATAGCCTTTGTTTTGTCTGTACAGCACCTAACATAATAACTTCCTGAACCATTAGTCAGATTCCTACGTGGTGTCATAATACAAATAAACACATTAAGTAGGCATGAAAAGGCAGATAGACATTCCCTGTGTGGCTGAATATTTTTCCATTCTGTCCAGTCTGTTGCAGAAAAGTTGGGTCTCACTAGTTTTTCTCCAAACATACCTTTTAAATAAATTTTCAACATTTTTCTGTACTTACTACTTTAGTACAAAAAGAGCCATAGATTATCCCATGGATCTTTAGCTTGTTATAGCTCTGCTCTTACACCTCCCTGCAAACCATTAAAAGTATTTACTACTTTTCCATTGCAGTGATGACTTTGAACAGACTAGTTTCCACATTAGGAGTGTTAAATATGGGTTAATTGAATAGTCGATTAACCTCCTGAATTCTTATCAGTTACTTGACTAGTCTATAGTCCCTGGGGGTGGGACCAGCAGCCAGTGCACTCCAGCCCCACTCCCAAGGAGCCCCCTGTTGCTCTGTGCTGCTGCCTCTGTAGCAGAAGCAGCAGAATGGGGTGGTAGCAACCCCTGTATGGGAGGTGTGGGGCTGAGCTCCTGGACCGAGTGCAAATTGGAACTAAGCTGAGCTGCCTGCCCGCCTGGCTCCTAATACACTTTAAATGCAGAGCTGCAGTGGGGGGTAGGTTCGAGACCCAGCATGAGCCAGGACTGAGCTCGGGAGGGAATGAGTGTAGTCTATAGCATTAACCTATAAGCTTTTACTTATCAGTTAATAGACTACACTATTACATCCCTACTCCACAGTTAGCTTTTACCATACCATCAAAATAAACTCAATTTTTTGGAGATTGTAAGAGAATTTTCTGCACTCATTCTTTCCCCATCCATTTTTTAAAGGAAAAGGCATGGTACCTACAAGAAGCAAGAAGGTCCGTTCGGAGACTATTTAGCTGACACACAGAGTTGTCTGAATTACAGGGCTTTACGTGACAGTTATACAAAGTTTCTATTATGTATAGTGTGGCAAGCAAGAGGGATTGCTGTTTGGTGGCTAGCCCACACAGGTAGATTTTTATAATTTTATCTGCTTCTGGGTTCACAGATATGCCTGGGCACTGGAACTGGAGTATTCCTTACAAACTTAAAATGTATTAAGTCTAGCTTAATCCTATGACTCTCTGTAGCTGGATGAGGGGAGAAGAGCAAAGACAGGGAGGTAGATTTCATCCCCTAGAAGATTGCTTCTATATCTTCTCCATTTCTGAATGGATATATGAGAGACTTCTGGTCTGATGGGCACTACCAGGGGCGGATATATGGCAGGGCGAACAGGGCGGCCACCCCGGGCCCCACGCTTCAGAAAGCCCTGCGCATGCGCCGTGGCGCCGCTGCGCATGCGCCGTGGCGCTGCTGCGCATGCGCCGTGGCAAAGGGGGGGCCCTGCGGAAGTATGCTGCCCGGGGCCCCGCAAAACCATCGTCTGCCCCTGGGCACTGCGGTAGCTACCGTAGAAGCCCCAGAATTTTATGTTGCATCTGTCTATAGAAGATCCTTGGAAAACTTAAGTGTTTTGGTACATCACATGAAAAAATGGCATGGAAGCCTAGGTGACATTACTAGATAGCCAAATTTTTCTGCAAAATAACTTTTACACTTGAGTTTAGCTTTTTTTTTTTTTTTTTTCCTTTCAGGTACATACAGGCTTTAACTTAAACCACCAAAAACACTAGAATGCACATACAAGAGGTTCTTGATTCCAGGAAGATACACAGGTTGAACCTCTGTAGTCTGGCACCCTCGGGACCTGACCAGTACCAAACCAGAGGATTTGCTGAACCATGGGAAATCAATATTATCTAGCAGCTTTACCAACATTTCCACTGCTTACTGGGTGCTTAGAAGACATTTAGGGGGTAAATTAGAGCTAAATAACAGCATAAAACACTGAAAGCCAGAACTGGTAGTTATAAACAAACTTTATAGAATCTTAGGAAAGATAGCCACACACACGATAAGCAGACATCTGGCTAACTAAAATCATGGCAGGCCATGGACAGTGCCAGACGGGAGAGGTTCAACCTGTATCCCAGGGATCACCATTTATTCTATTTACATAGTTTCAGCTCTGCAGCTTTGCTCTAGTCCTATCGGCTCTTCTGTGGTTAAAAGGAATATCTGACTTAGAAACAGACTTCCTATTTGAAATTTAATCTCCTTTAATTGTGAAATTTACTATGCATTGGGAAACATTGTAGTCTAAAATTTCATTGAGGAAGATCAGTGTCCCTCAATTATGAGGCTGTTCCATCACATAGAGGCTCTATTTTAAGGCATTACCAGGCAAGATAGAATTTTAAGCTACAGGTAACATTTAAAATAAAATTTTAACTGGGTATTTTAATCAAAGTCCAAGATCAGTTGTTGTAATAGGGAGGAATGAAGAATTTTCATTAGATCTTTAAAATCATTTAACCTTGAAAGAAACAAATACAAAGCACTGCAAATAGACTTTTTTTCTTAACTTAAATCATAATGCATCATCTGGTTGAGCTCTTACTTATTACTTACTTGTCCCAAAAGATGGCCAAGCCTTCCGATATAGATGCTCAGTAGTTCTTATATTAAGCATTGTTTACGTATGTGCTGGACTCTGCATGAAACTGTAAGGATGTGCTTTGCATACTTAAAATTCCTTTGAAAATGTAACCTTAACTGTTTTTCTTCAGTACATGATTATTCTCTTGCTAGTGTTCATTGTCCAGTTTTCAGTCTCCTGTGCATGCCTGGCATTGAACGAAAGACAGCAGGTAAGACGTTTCTTCTGAATTTTCAGTTGAACAAAAATGTTGTGTTGTAGATATTGTACTGCTATCTCGACAACCTGAATAAACTGTAATATGTATATATCTACAAAGAATGATGGGTCCTTCTTCACGTGATTTTTGCATGCTTTCTTAAGTCAGGGACCGCTGTAAAGGCAATCCTGGGTGTCCGGTTCCGAGGAAGAAATTTATGCAGCTCAGTATTCCTTCTAAGAGGTTTAGACATTTTGAGTCTCAAATTTGTCAGCTATGCGGTATGAAGTTCAGTAATTTGGAGCAAGATGAATTAATATGCAGTAATCTAAATGAAAGATAACAGCAAAGGAGACTAACACTGAATTGCTTCCGAGTATAAGCTCAATGACTGTGTTAGCTGTAAAGGTGACTTACATATATGAAAACAGAATAAATCATTCCCATATAATAAGATGAATCCTCCAAAACCTGAGACTATAATTAGGCATATTCATTTCAGTCCATTAAACATGTGATCACTCTTTGATTTAAGATGCATCTCCTTTCTGTATCCAAAATAGTCAGATCATTGACCCTTGCTTAGTGACTGTGTAATAGTACACTAGCATATAAAATCAGTCCCATCTCCTGAGCATCCAATAAGTTTATACTATGCTTGAACTGATAGATTTTTATAAACCTATGCCATTTATTAAAGGTTACCTCCTTTATTCAACTTCTGTAGCCTAGCTTCCTAACCTAGTGAGGGTCACACATCAGTGGATAAGATGTTATCAAGCATAGTTTGTGCAAGAGCTACTGATGATAATCGTCCCACCTCTGCATTTTGAAGAGTGGGGAATGGGACAGGTCTTATTGGAGAAATGGGGGATATGTCAGGGCTTTAATTGATGGCTGTGAGAGAGGTGAAAGTGAGGGTGTGTGTACACAGCACCCTAAACTCCAAATAAAATATTTATTCTATTATTTTGATTCTATTTCAAAATAGTTTATTTTGAAATTTGACACGTCTACATAGCACCAAATTTCAGAATGATGTGTTATTTTGAGACATCCCTTAACTCTCATGGAACGAGGGTTACAGGGATGCCGAAATAGCGTGCCCATTATTTCGAAAAATATTTTGAAATAACGGGCGGCTTGTTAAGACATGCAGTAGCTATTTTGGGATGCCTCCAGTATCCCGAAATAGCCCACATTATAGATGTACCTTTAGAAAGATGTACCTTTTTAATCTCCTCCTTTTCTTTTTGTAGCTACCATTCTGAAAGCTTTTAATCTTTTAATTTGTAGATTCCAATGCCAGAAGGGACCGTTGTGATCCTCTAGTTTGACCTCCTCAATAGCACAGGCCATAAACTTCCCCAAATTAATCCTAAAGCATGTCTTTTAGAAAAACATCCAGTCATGATTTTAAAATGGTCAGAGATGGAGAATCCACCACAACCCTTCGTAAATTGTTCTAATGATTACTCACTTTTTAAAATGGGCACCTTCTAGTTTTAATTTGTCTAGCTTCAACTTCCAGCCATTGGATTGTGTTGTACCTTTTGTCTGCTAGATTAAAGAGCCACTTTAAAAAATATTTGTTCTCCATGTAGATACTTATAGACTGTAATTAAGATGCCTCTTAACCATCTCTGTTAAACTCCAAGAAGCTCAGTCTATTTAGCTTAGCACTATAAGGGCATGTTTTCTAATCCTATAATCCTTCACATGGCTTTTCTATGAGGCCTGTCTAATGTATCAACATTCTTCTTTAATTGTGGGCACTGGAACGGGACACAATATTCCAACAGCATTCGCCCCAGTGTAAAGGTAAAATAACCTACTTGAGATTCCCCTATTTATTCATCCCAGGATCAAAGTAGCTCTTGGTCACAGCCTGCCCCAGCCCAATCCTTTCTAGCCACCTGGAGGACTAGGGGAGTTGGGCTGCTATGCTGTTCCTAGCCTTCCCCAGCAGCCGGTATGTGTAAATTTGGGAAGGCAGTGCTTTCCCTTGCCTACACTACATGCTGCCCATGCTGAGTTTATGTTCATCTTATCTGCCATAACCCCCAAATCTTTTTCAGATTTACTGCTTCCCAGGGTAGGGTCCCCCATCCTGTGAGTATGGCTCAGACCTGATGTATACATTTACAGTTTGCCATATTAAAATGGATATTCTTTGTGCCTAGTTTGCCAAGTGATCTAAATTATTCTGAATCTGTGACCTTATCCACGTTGTCATTTACCATTGTTCCCATTTTTGTGTCGTCCGAAAACTTTCAGTGATGTGTGTTTCTTCCAGGTCATTGATAAAATTAAGTAGCATAGGATCAAGGACTGATCCATGCAGGACACTACTGGAAACAAAGCCACATTGACAATTCTCTGTTTACAGTTTTGAGATCTGTTAGCCTGTTTTAAATACGTTTCATACGTGCCATGTTAATCAAAATGTTCTGCAGTATGCATGACAGAAGTCTAATTATATTATATTATAAACACTGTAACTGTTATCATCCAAATTTGAAATATCAAATCAGGTTAGCGTGACAGGATCTATTTTCCGTAGACCCCCATTAATATCTTACTTTTCTTTCATCCTTTATTAATAGAATCCTCTATCTGCCACTCATCTTGCCTGAGATTATGTCATGCTACTTAACCTTTAATTATCTTGGTGATACTGTTTAGCCTCCTTAAAAACTGGCAAAATATTAGCTTTCTTCCAGTTTTTTTGAACTTCCTAGGGCCCACCAGCCAACTTTGTGCTATTGAGCAGCGTGCTGCTGTGCTTACTACTGCTTCTGACTAACCTCTTGCTGTGAAAGAACAAGAGTATCTGTACTAGGTTCCAGCTCCAGTAAACTTGCCCATGAAATTTTTCATGGTTAGTGCCTCTTAACCTTTAGCATCTGACATAATTCAATGACCCACCAGTGGCAGGGAGTGAACAAGATGGCAACTAGACAATCAGTCCCCCACAGTGTTGATCCCAGTAAAATCAGTATTTCAATAAAATCTGGTTAATGTGATATATGAAAATAAGAATGGCCAAACTAAGACCAAAGGTCCATCTAGCCCAACATGTTGTCTTCCGAGGGTGGCCATTGCCAGATGCTTCAAAGGGAATGTACTGAGTAGACAATCAAGTGATCCATTCCCAGCTTCTGGCAAACAGAGGACAGGGACACCATCCCTGCCCACCCTGGATAACAGCTGTTGACAGACTTCTCTTCCATAAAGTTAAAGTTGTTGTTGTTATTTTGTTTTTAACCTTGTAATAGTCTTGGCCTTCACAACATCCTCTGGCAAGGAGTTTCACAGGTTGTCTGTGCATTATGTGAAAAAATACATCCTTTTGTTTGTTTTTAAACCTGCTGCCTATTAAATTCATCTTGCCACTTGACTGGTGATACAAGTGCAGATCTGAAAAAGAGTGGAGATAATCCATTAGGCTTGTGAAACTTGATATTTTTCTTGCTTTAGCTATTTGGGCTATATATACATTATACACGTGACTTTTGCTTGTTGCTTTAGACTGTAACAATATCAGAATGGGGGCTGAGTGTGAGGGTATTATGCATACCACATGGGCTTGAATGAAATGGGGGGGGGGAAGGGGTAGCAATTATTAAATTATGCATGTGTTAATTTGTGCCTTTTAGAGACAACTTCTAGAGGTTGGATGGACCAGCACAGTCACTGCTAGAAAAGATATTGAGAGGAATCTAAACTGTTGTGGTTTCAATGCCTTCAATTCAAGTGAAACCTGCTCTGCTGTAAGTAGGTCACTCAGTTATAACATTTGTTACTTACTCGTTCTTTTCTAGAGAAGTGTGCAAACATATTGTCATTGCATAGCAGCTTAAGTATATCATCACGTTTACAGGAATACTGTACAGTTTGAAAAATCATTATCAAATATATAGGACAGTAATAGGACAGTAATTGTATCAATTCATTTTATGGTACTTACCACCTTAAACACTTTAAGATCTATTGACTAAAAGCATGACATAGGTATTTACAATTCAATTTATTAAAAATGCCAGTCTTAGGCAAAACTAAGCCATTTTTGGCTAGCTTCACATGTTTGTGGTTTACTTTTTAATAATTTAAAACTGTAATTTTTGTTTCAGGCTTGCTATACAAACCTCCAGTGTTCACCATGTGCACCTATAATAGAAGAATATTCAGGAATGGTACTGAGATTTGTAGGGGGCATAGGACTTTTCTTCAGTTTCAGTGAGGTGAGTGCACATTAGCATATTTATTTCTAAAAGAAAGTCCTATGGGCTAGTAACTTACTACAGAAATCACTAACCCTATTATTCAACAATGTTTGACTTTTCTGACTAGCAACGCTCAGAGTGAATAACAAACAAAAACTGTCAACAAGCAAGTTAGTAGATTCCCAGCATTAAAGGGAAAGCACCAATCTCAAGCATGTATTGTAACCACACCTTTCAAGATACATTGTTATTGCTGTAGGTAAATGGTTAAGCTATAATTGTGGACATTGGTGTAGTAGACTGGAGGTGCATGACCAGTTTAGGCATATGTATTGCATATGCATGTTTTTCTCCTTGTTAGAATGAATTCTCTCACAGGATATGTCCTCCCACTAATCAAGGGAAGTTGTGTGGGGTTTTTTTTGTGACTCGAATGCCAGTGCAAAAACATCCTGAACTTGCATTTGGAAATTTTAGATATCAGACACTGGGGAAAATATTCTAATCTTTAAACCATATGGGGAGGATAAAAGCGGTACTAAGTGTCTGTTTTTTTCTTCTTATAGATTTTGGGAGTTTGGCTGACTTACAGATACAGAAACCAAAAGGATTCTCGTGCAAACCCTAGTGCATTTCTTTGATGAAAGTTTCTCAAGGACTGATTTTTTTTTCCTGGTTAAAATATGAATTCTCTATCAGGTGGCACTTCTGCAGGCTAAGGATCTGAAAAGAAAATGATTTTCCTACATGGAGATGTTTGTGCTTGTCATCTTTGGTTTCCCATCTTAATCTCTAGAGTTCTCCATCTTGAAAAAGATACCTGTTTTCTGTAACTAAACAGAAACTACACTCTTCTGAGATTGGTTTTCTATTTAATGGCACTAGGATATATTGCCTTTCTTCATCTTAAAATCAATCCTAAACTGAACCAAACAGCTAAAAAAATAGTCAGTGTGTGATTTTTTTGTTTTGTTTTTTAAAAAAAAAAAAAGTGTTTTCTTTTCTCTTTAAAATGACGCAACTGGAAATTAAATGCCTGTAAGGTAAAATACAGTAAACATATTTTTCTGTTGAATCACTGTCCCATTCTACTCTCTGGGTTTAATAATGTAGAGAACATTTAATACATACATTTATCAACCATTTATGTTGTTTCTTTTCTCTAAATTTAAGATACCATTTTAGATCATAGATATAATCATGTTAATTGACTCCTGTAGTCTTTAAATGCAATTCTAAAGATGTCAGAACTAAAGAGAATAAAACATTTTTTGTTATCTGGATAGCTAAGCGTAATAATAGTGAGAATAATAATGAGACAAACCAAGAAAATTAACCTAAGACTAATTTTAAAACTACTTTTTAAAAAACAAAAATTCCCTATAGGTAAATGAACTGTGACACTGGGACAACATCAGAAGTGTAATGATCAATTTTGTTAGTTTAACACACTTTGAATTGCTGCCCAGAGATTTTGTATAAAACTTTTTCACAAGTAGTTTAAATTCATAGTTGTAATAACTTATAAAAATGCGATACTGACATTCATCAACAAATCTGACCCACCTTCAGCTTTCACTATCTAAAATACTTGATTTTAAATGTAATTGTAAAAATATTGTCATGGTGTTTTGGTAGCTTAACAATAAAAAAAAGTGTTTGTGGTTGAATGCTCTATAAAACTTTAGATGAAATCACTGTCCTTGACCAAGTTGTTCATATACTAATTAGATACATTATAGACAGCAGATGCATGCCATTGCAGACAATGCACCGGATGATCGAAGACGTAATTTTTTGAGGTGCATGCTGTGTTTTTAACGCTTTTCTCTGAATTATGATTAAATGGTGTCAGTGTGTCTTCAATGGAACTGTCCCTCTTGGCTGAAATTTCTCCTCTTCCCCTTTGTATGTCACTCAACATGGAAAAACTGGGAAGATACCCAAAACCAATATTTATGAGAGCAGCTACAGAAGAGCACTGGCATCACAGGTGTGTGTGGGGAAACAAGTGTAATGAAAGTTGGTTTGGGATTTTGAAGGGCCTTCACTGAATAGGAGGTAACTGAACTTTGTATAGTAAGAAGGTGCTAATATACAGCGGTAATAAGACCCATATAGATATCTGTATGCTCCCTCTTTTCTAAAGCTGAGCCTGCATAAGAACGTCTCATACAGAGCTGAAGAGAAGCTATTCGCTGTTCAAGTTTTTATTCATTCTACAAAACCCAGCACCATATTACATGTACTTCTATACTGTCTGACATTTTATCTGTTAGCTTAGGTGGAGGTATGACTGAGTGCATTTATGAGAAATAAGCCTCTTTTTACAGAGTGCTCCAGTAACCCAGTGCAAATGAGTGGCTTTGGGGGTCCTATTATGCAAAAGCAGTACCGTAACTTAATACTAACATTAAGGGTTGGCAAAATGTGGCCTGCAGGCTAGATCCTGCCCTCCAAAGTACTCCTTGTCTGTCCCACCCTCACACACCACTCAGAGAAGCCAGCTGCAGGGGCCATGTGCTGTACTGAACACTGCAAGCAGGGGCGTAGAGGGATAAAGGCTTCACGTGTTGGCCCGGCCTCAGCACAATCTTGTAGTTCCCATTGGTGGGTTTCCTGTTCACAGGACTGGCAGTGAGCAAATTATTTCCCACTCCCACAGGCTGAGCACCAGAGGGGAAGCACAGGGCCCCAGCAGCTGGCTGCTGTGAGCAGCATGCAGGGGTGGGGCAAGCAGGAAGCTTGGTTGAGGAACCTACTGGGCTGGTGGCTAGCATTTGCCCAGGTAAGTGCCTCACAGCCGCAGCTTACTGTCATCCCAGCCCCTTCCTCCCACCAACTCTCTGCCCTTCTTCCTACAGCTGTACTTCATGTAACCCAAGCCTGCATCCACATCCCTCCCCAACCCTGCACCCCAATCCCTTGTCCCTGGTCGCAACCCAAATCCCTGCACTCATTCCCCAGGTCAGAAACCTTCCAAGCTTCCTTTTACACCCAACCTCTCTCCCAGCTCCTGCACCTACTCAATATGAAAGAATGCAGGCCTTGACCACTCACTGCATTCATGGAGTGGCCTTCCATCAGAGGCGTAGCTGGGGGGGGGGCCCACCTGGCATGGGTGGTGAGTTCTATGGCCAGCCCCGGACCGTCCCTGCTGTGCGCAGCATTCAGTCGGCTCCCCCTTGCCTGTGCGGGCCGGGCCGGGCCCAGGGGGCGGCCCTAGAACTCGCCACCCCTGCCAGCGTTCGGTCAGCCCCCCCTTGCCTGCGCGTGCTGCGCAGCCTTCCCAGCTGGCCGGGGAGACACCCGGGCGGGGCGTGACGTCACGTCATGTCATGGCCCGGGACTTTAAAAGTGTTCGGTGCCACATGGTGCCGGCTTAGTTTCCAGTTCGGAGTCTGGGGCCCGAGCACAGACTCCGGCCCCGCACAGTGGAAGGCAGAAGGTACAGGAGAGGGAGGGAAGGGGCTTGTGCAGAGGGAAAGGGGAAGGGCTGGGAGAGGAAGGTGCTTGTGCAGAGGCGGAGGGGAAGGGGAAGGCACCAAAGGGACAGGTGGAGGAGAGACAATGCCAGGGGGCCAAGTGCAGACAAGAGGAAAAAGGCAGGAGGGGAGGTGTCAGTGGGAGGGGACAGGGGGATGCTGGGAGAGAAGCGGGTAAGGGCATTGGTGGCTAGAGGAGTGAGGGGAGGTGCTGGGAGAAGGCTTGAAAGAAGAGGTGGGCATGAGGAAGGCCGGGATGGAGCAAGTCATGTGTGAGGGCACAGGGGCATGAG